ACTAGAATCTGTAGCTCTAATGTGATATAATGAATATGAGGAGAATGAAGCTGATGCTGTGAAAGTGCTGGATTGAGGTGAGTTACTAAAGATCAGTCAAGTCAACAAGAGCCGCACAAATCTGATGTTCCTGCAGGTTATTGGGTGAAGTGTGGAGCTGATGAGTTTTGATTTCTGTTTTCTGTAGAGTTTCCAGTCTCTCTCAGCACCTCCTGAATCTACAGACGGAAATGACGATCCCTTCACTGCTCTTATCTCTTTTGATGGTCTGAGAGAATCTGTCCATCAGCTGAGAGACAAACTGGAGGATTTCTGCAAAGAGGAGCTCAAGAAGATCTCAGACAGAGGTAAAGTCCTGGAGATTCATCTGCTCTCAGAAACAAGTCCATCATCATCTCATATCATGGAGAGCATCATATTAGAAATGTCTTAGGAATGGATGCAGGATCATGAGAATCACACTGTTCATGTCTGTTGATTTCCACAGTCACATTCAACATTGTTTCCAGGACCAAGAACAACTTCCTACAATGTAAGTCAGTAGGAAAACAAGCAGAAAAACTCACTGAGTGAGTTCATGTTCTTGCTGTAGAAGGTGAAAGAAGAGTTTTATAATTGATGATGTAAATTATGATTTGTACAAGATATCTGCTCATCTGTACTGAGACACTGATGATACACTGAAAATGAAGAGTTAATATACATGAAAAGATCAAACAGATTCATAATTCCTGATTCTGATGTGTTTTATCTCCATTAGATTCCCATCAGCTCACTCTGGATACAAACACAGCACATAAACGTCTCCGTCTGTCTGAGAGCAACAGAGTGATTACTGGCACTAATACAGATCAGCCGTATCCTGATCATCCAGGCAGATTTGATTTTTGGTCTCAGGTGTTGTGTAGCGAGAGTGTGTGTGGACGCTGTTACTGGGAGCTGGAGTGGAATGGAGGTGAACCTGGTGTGCGTATATCAGTGTCATATAAGAGCATCAGCAGGAAGGGACAGAGTAAGGCGTGTTTGTTTGGAAATAATTATCAGTCCTGGAGTTTGCAATGCAATCCCTCCAGATACTTATTCAGACACAATAACATTGTGACTGATCTCCGTTTTGAGCTCCATGATAATCAGTAATAGTGAGATGTTGGCGACTCTCTTCTTTTATCTTCATGACATTAACACTGCAGCTGAACTTCTGTCACTGAAATAACATGTAAGAATAAATGTGTGTAATAAATCCTCATAAACATTAAGATCAGACGTGTTTCTGTACTTTTTATGTGTATCAGTGAAATTACTTTTCAATTCAAATGTTCACAGTCAATAAATAATTTTCATTATTCTCATTCTGTAGCTCTGGCCCTCTTCAGCGTTTTGTGTTCTTCTGTGTTCCAGTGTCAGTGTTTTTTGTCATGCATTTAATTGTTAAACATGGAATTCATCTTTATTTGTTTGTTTGTGTGTGTGTGTGTGTGTGTGTGTGTGTGTGTGCTCTGCTCACCGGTTCATCTTAATGTTCAGGTTTTTGGAAGATTTAGTAATTTTCTTTCTGAATCTCAAGAGAGAATCCAGCATCCTCTAATAGCACTGATCTAAAGGTTTATTTCAGGTTCTTTACAATGCCAGTGGGTTAATATTAGCTACAGGTGGTTGGTGTTTTAGTTTCTGAGGACTGTGCAGCACTTTATATTTAGCGAGTGGAGGTGCATTTGATCAAGGCTGTTTTAAAGGGTTGATGAAGGACAGATGAATGGCCACTGCTTTGACTTTTGACATTTACTGTATGTTCATCCTGCAAATTTCTGTGGCTCCTGACTCTATGTGTGTTTGATTTTATGCATCTGCCAGGTGCTTTTATACAAAAATATCTTACGGTGCATTCAAGATATATGTTTTATTGATATGTGTGATATGCCACAAGGATCTGTCCTAGGCCCTCTGCTATTTTCAATATACATGTTGCCCCTCGGTAATATTATTAGAAAATACGGGATTACTTTCCATTGTTATGCTGATGAAACTCAACTATATATCTCAACAAGACCAGATGAAACGTCTCGGGTTACGTATGTAACCATGGTTCCTCGAGGGAACGAGACGCTGTGTCGAAGCGCTTTGGGAACGCCCTCTACGTGACCACGCTCTGAATCACATGTGTAATCAGTCCAATGGAAAGGCGAGACGTCATAGGCGGGTGACGTCATCGACCAGGAAACTTAAAAGCACGTGCGGTGGAGCCGGCATCAGCTTCTAGGAATGAAGCAAGCGCTGGCAGGGATGCTGGAAGTATGGCATCGAGACGCAGCGTCTCGTTCCCTCGAGGAACCATGGTTACATACGTAACCTGAGACGTTCCTCTTCAGGAACTCGAGCTGCGTCGAAGCACTTTGGGAACGAGATGCCCATGCCGCCAGACTTGCAAATCCCTGCCTAGTGTGGAAGAGCACAACTAAGGTGAGAGAAAGGGGAGCCAGGAGTGGCTAGAGAAGGCGGGGCCCGCCGTCCCGAAGGCCAACTTCTGGAGGAGTGAGCCTTGACCCCCAAAGGAGAGGGGAGATCAGAGGACTCGAGGCTATGGAATAGCATCCTGATCCACCACTTAGCATAAGCTTCTCTGGCCGGAGGCCTCG